ACAGCACAGCACGGTAACGAGAGATGCCCCTTTGCTTAAAAAACCTGTATCAGAGCAGAAAGGCGTGGGCAAGGTTTAGAAAAGGGGTTTTGGCCTATTAGGGGCTGGCCCTGCTGTTCCCAACATCACCCCTGCCTTTTTTTTTGTGTGTATAATGGACCCCAGGACCACAGATTAAGGGCTAACAGAGAAACCCAGGTGCCAGAATGCAGCAGTTGGGCAGAGTTCTTCCCGGCACAGCCCACCCCATCTAGGGTCGCTGGTACTCTGAAGGGGCTGAATGGGGTGGCCCGTGCCTGAACAGGATCCCAGCACGTTGGGATGGCAGAAGACAACCCCTTCTCCAGCCGGTTCCCGCTGGAGCATTTCACCGGGGAAGCGCAGCGGCAGCATGCAGGCCCACCAGGGACTGCTGCTGGGCACGGGTCCAGACCCCACACTTCACTGCCTGCGAGGTGTGGGGTCTGCACCCATGCCCGGCAGCGCTGCCCTCCAGGCCCTCTGCCCTCCGTGGGGGTGTGACAGCCGGGCCCTCAGATCGGGCTCCAGGAGAGAGATAAGCGGGGACACGTCTGGTGGGGGTGAGCCAGGCAGACCCCAAGCAGCTGAGGACTACAGTGTGCTTCGCACCCTGAGGAGCACGGTTAAGCAGGGTGTTGTGGCCATCTAAATGCTGGACTGAGGCATCTGGTGAGTCTTCAGACAGCCTATATGGTCCTTTTGACTCAAAGAAAGGGCTGAGATCTGTTGCCATGGCAGGATGTCCTTACCCAAGTGATAAACGTGCTGAGATTCTTCTAAATGGCAGCTCTTTTTCCCAAATGCTACTCCTGGGCACGCAGCTGTGGCACACAGCTGGTGAGGCTGGCCCTGCCCTGGCACTTGGGCCCCGGGACGTCCCCGGTACCATCCGAGACAGCCTCTCCAGGCTGTGAGCAGCAAGGAGGAGGAGGAAAGTACCCCGGGGCCACTGCCCCAGCGGTGGGGGTGGGGAGGAGGGTAGGAGGCATGGGGCACGCTGACACAAGCAGTGGGATTCATCCACGGAGCATCATTCGGTGCCAGGCTCCGCTGCTGGTAAGCGGCTGGTTCCCGTAACCGGCTTCACGTTCCCTTAGCAATTACTTGTGAGTAACCAGTAACACCGCCCGTCAGCTGAAGTTCTCGATGAGGTTTGTCTGACATTCAGGAAAACACGTCTGGCAGAACATGGCCTAATTCTGATGAGGCTATTTCATAAACAAAGTTAAAAGGCAGTTCTTTTCCAAAAGTGAAGTTTTCACTGTTGGCTCGTGGGAGAGATTTAAGGCCTGGGGCATCTGAGCTCTACGCTGAGCCTGATCGGACAGTGACTGCAATGGGAAATGCAGCTTGATATTGCTCTAATGTGAAACGAAATGTTTTTGGTTAGTTTAATAAACTCAAATGAAACATTCTCTTCCAACGACATCAAGTCTTTCTTTTTAATTAACCCTTCAAATAGTGTAGATGAATACGTTTTCTCAGAAATGAAATCTTCAATAGAGCATGATTTGTAAAAAGCCATGATATCTCCTGCCTGATTTTGAAGGCGGGGTAGGGAGGGCAGGGTTTGCCCAGTCCTTTGACAAGCTTTTAGCTGCCATTTGCCAAAGGTTTCCACAGCACACAAAGTCCAGGGCTGACTCCTATTTAAACATCTAGATGCTACTGGGATAGAAATACTAAGTAGTAAGTTACGTGGTGTAGTGCTGTCCTATTTGCCCCTACGATAAAATCACAGGTAACATTCTCTCTTTGGGGTCCTACCTTACTGTGCTAACATTACTTAAGGCTTACAAGTTCTCCAAATGGGTGTCTCTCCCTGCTAGTGACCTTCAATACTGCACAAAAATCTACTTCTCATGCTTGCCATGCTAAAAAACTTTTAAAGTACAAAAATATCCCATTACCATGAATAGAATTGTGCCAATATAACATATCTCTATATTTGAAATCACTACATCTTAAAATAAACTTAAGCAATTACTGCACTGAAATATGTACCTTATAGCCTAAGAGTAGGCATAGTCTAGAAATGCAGATAATCTTTGGTATAATAAAGTATCTTCATTAAGAGGAGGGAAAACTGCCCGAGCAGCTGGCCTGTAGAAGTCACAGCTGCCAGGCCAGATCCTGCCTCGAGCATGACACAAGCAGTGCCATTGATTTAACGGAACTTGTTTGTGTGAATTGCAGTTACCGGGCTTGCTTCTAGGCAGAGAACCTAAATTTAACTTGTTTTCAAAAAATAACACCCAAGATTTCTTCCTACCGTCTTTTAAGCAGCAAAGTTTATTCCAAGTGCTTCGGAAGATGAAAAGCTAGTTTCAAGAGTTTTTTGCAGTATTTTGCAATGTACATGTTGTTCCAGTGTCCCTATTAAATAATTTCTTAAACCTATCTCTGAGATAGCACTTCATATATTTTTCTAAATTGATGAAACACGATAGAAATACCAGCTGTCCTAGTCACGTATCTGCGCAAAACAACCGATCCGTGAAAGTGTATTAATCAATATCAGAAGCAAACGTTTAATGTTTTCCAACTCTAACACTATATTGATGAGCTTTTACCAGGGAGGGGTCCAAGTTTAAACCATGACTAATTCTGGCTCCAGGGAACGTGTATTTGTGTGATTTCAGCCCAGTTTTATCTTTTGCTCAGCAAAAAAGTCCAGGCTAACTGGCTGGAGTTAGGATAGCCACTCAAACTAAATAACCCAATGATTTTTAAAATTACTTTTTTTGTTTCAGGTAGTCGGGAATCTGCTTTTGTACATGCCATCTCCTCCGCTGGGGTTGTTTTTGCCATCACCAGGGCATGTAGCCAAGGGGAGCTGAAATCCTGCTCCTGCGATCCCAAGAAGAAAGGCTCTGCCAAGGACAGCAAGGGCCATTTTGACTGGGGTGGCTGCAGCGATAACATCGACTATGGTGTTAAATTTGCCAGAGCCTTCGTGGATGCCAAAGAGCGGAAAGGAAAAGATGCGAGGGCGCTGATGAACCTTCACAACAACAGAGCTGGAAGGAAGGTGGGTGTCCACCCGACAGATGCTCTCAGTGAGCTCTCACGGGTCTGGGCCAGGTAACGCTTGGCCTTGCTGAGTGGCCTCAGCAGTTAGGAAGAGGTGTGGGATGAGCGGGAGCCTGAGGTGCGATTTCTGTCTCCCTCAGAGGTTCGGCGTGGCCAAGATTCTCCAAGCAGACTGAGTGCGACTGCTTAACAGTGCTCCCGCCCGAGTCCCTTTCAGTGGCTCCCTGTGTGGGAAGTTAAGCGCGAGCCCAAGTTGTTGCAGGATGAGTTTGGATGCAGGTTTTGTTTTGAGCCTAATCCTTATATAAGGAGGAGTTTTACTTTTGGTTAATAGAGAACAGAAATTCCTAAGGGAGGCTGAAGACCACACTGGCTTGACTATTAAAGAGCAAATTCAAAATAGCGTTGGAGAAAAAACCCATCCTTTCCATTCCCGTATGTATAGGGTAAACCTAAACACAAAATGAGCAGAGATAAAATACAATTACTTCACTTTTTGAGAAAATAAATCCAAAATACTTGTCCTGCCAAAAGGCGTTGGTCTTGGGGCATGACTTGCTCTAAAGAAACTCCTTTTCTAAATGTTGTATGAAAATATCATTCCTGAATTTCAACAAAAAGAGCCTGTACTTTTCCATTGTAGGTGAGTAGAAGGAGTAGTTGCCAGGCATATTGCCCACTGCTGGTGCAAGGGCTGAGGAATACACGCACTACCATTTTGTGGTGGTAGCTATAAATAGTAAGAACAGTGCAAGAAACTGGAATACACTGTTTCATTATTCAAAACATATTCAAAATTTGCTGCATCTACAACATCTGAAATAATACAGAAAAATATTTTATAGTGCTAGACCAAGCCCTTCTAAAATGATTCGTAGAGACTTCTTGTTTCTTGTCTTTGGTTTTCCTTAATATATGTTCAGTAGGAAGTAAATTGTTCATATTCTGATATTTTTGTGTTAAAAAGTTCCCTTCATAAAATGCAAAATTGTTCTATATTAATTAGCCCTTATTAGAAGAAAAGATCCAATTTTAATGACTTGTACTGCAAGTAGATGATTTTTCTGATAAATATTTCTCCTTCAACATCTTTCCTCCACCTGTTTATTACCAGGAGGTGTAATTCATATGTAATATGGACAGATGAGGCTTTTCAGATCAGTGACATGCATATGCAATACTATGGCTGCATTTATGTTACCATCCAAAAGAAACTGCAGTCTACAATGCAAGCAGAAACTTTATAGGGGTGAATTAGCTCCATGCTGGGAAGTACTTTCTGAAATAGTTGAGTACCTTATGAAGCTTAAAAAAAAATATGCCAAATAATAAGACTGTAGTGGTAAGCAGATAGATTGGTTTTGCATTTTTTTTTAAGAAAAAAGATAGACTTTAATAAATGTGTTTGATTAAAAATAGTCAATACATATACTTCAGGAGCTGCTTTATAGAAAAGGATGCTCTTTTGTATCCACAGTGCAGTAGTGCAGGTTTAGCTTTGCAGGGACCTCACCACCTCAGCCCACTGGCAAGCCTGGCATCTGGACCTGGGTAAGGCCAGCTGTGCCCTTGGCTTTTTCTCATCCCCAAAAAGTGAAGCCTATGTTGATAGGTTTCTTTTAAAACTAGACTACTGAGATTTTACTGTTTTATAAATACATTGAATAAATATTTATAATAATCCCAAATGAATCACACAAAATAGTATGCTGTGTATCAGTATATCATCTGCAAAAAAATCAGCACATCACTGAAAAAAAAAATCCTGCATCCCTGTGTGCTACTTCTGCTATTCTATGCCTCAGTCCAGGAAGTTTTTTTAAACGTACAAGTAGTTTAACTTATTTTTACTCAGATAATTAAAACCAAGCATCTGCTTAAATCCCTTTCTGAGCAGAATCCCAGTTTTGCGATAGTGCCGTTGGCAATGAAGTGGGGCTGTGGGAATGACAGTGACTTCTTTGCAGTAATCAAATCTTTTAAAAGTTGCAAAGAAAGAACATTAGAAATACTTTGGTTTTATAACACATTTTCACTTTATTACTAAGTGCTTGACTGAAAAATGCCGCCCCGCTCAGCATCAGTCTCACTCCTAATTGTGGAGCTTTCCTCTCTCTTACCTTCCTCACATGATGTTGTTCCTCTTGTACAAACTCTAAAATGTTCATATTTCGTGAATAAGGCATTATTCATTATTATTAAGGCATAATATTTATAGATTAGATATCCATATCCTCAGAATGTGGAATTAATTATTTCTTGTATATGAACCCATCTGTTTTTCTCCAACATCATACAGATAGCTTAAATGTCTGAGATGAAGCTGAAATGGTTTTAATGATAGCCAGACAGTAAATTAATGATGAAGGAGATCTCTCCAATTCATGGTAATGATAGTCTTATTCTAAAACATTTGTTAAAAGGTTTATAAGCATTTTAAAAATACTGTATTTTAAAATTTTACATAGATCTGACGTCTAGCCCAGGTACGATGCTTTGCACAGTCTCTGCAAAATCGTTTTAATATGAAAGGTCTGTGGATTTCGAGGCAATAGTTGAAACACTACTCAGGGCAAAGGGCAACTTGATGAAGGTGAGCTAGAGGGGGTCAGCATGGCAACGCGGGAATGATGGGGACACGGGGTACTTCGCCTACCAAGGGACTGAGTGATTCTGCCCATTTTCCAGATCGTTTCCTACTGTCCAGTCTGTGTCCTAGTGTTATGGACCATCTCAATCCTTGGGATGACTGGCAGGAGCGGGGAAGGTAAGCCCACCAGCCAGAGGATTGTGTGTACAGTTGAGTCAAGCAACCAGAGCAGACCAACCATGTGGGGATGACTTGATGCTACCAGTGGGTGTCACTACAGACCGTGATTTGAGACCCATTGCAAGCCTGGCATTACAGGATGACTGGAAAAGGGCTGAGAAGCATAAATTGCAGTTTGTTTTACCTGTGTATATTTTACTGCGTTTCTAAACAGGCCGTGAAGCGGTTTTTGAAACAGGAGTGCAAATGTCACGGTGTGAGTGGATCATGCACTCTAAGGACCTGTTGGCTGGCCATGGCAGACTTTAGGAAAACAGGAGATTATCTATGGAAGAAATACAATGGAGCGATTCAGGTGGTCATGAATCAAGATGGCACGGGTTTCACTGTGGCTAATAAGAGATTTAAGAAGCCAACTAAGAATGACCTGGTATACTTTGAAAGCTCTCCAGACTACTGTATCAGGGACAGGGATGTAGGTAAGCCTCTATCGTTACATGTGAATGGTTTTATTTCAGACATTTGTGCTTTGAAGGTCAAAAAATTATCATTATTATTGAGTGTGTACATATATATAAATCCATGCATGTAACCAGCAGGGAACAGGCAGGAAGATGTTTTGGAAGGACTGCTCTGTACCAGAACAATAACTCCTCAGCGTCCCTAGATGTACGACAGCCAGTTGTCCTAACATAATTCATCAGTTTCTTCCAGATGCTGTGGAGCTCTGGAGACTCTGCAAGGCAAAAGCTGCTTTTAGGACAAGTTTGAGTTATGCTCCGGAGGCAGGTCCATACCGTACACAGCCACAGACACGCTTGTATCACACAGCTCACTCCAGAGCTGCCAGACATAACTACAGCAGCCCCAAGTCCCCTGATGTCCCTATGATACCACCTCCTGTCGCATTGCTTCTCTTCCATAGTGTTACGCTACTGCTGCAGACTCCCAAGAGACCCGTGTCCTCCTTTATCTGCACATTCCCCGCAGCTCACTGTTGACCGTGGACCCCCTATTTGTAGACACACCTCTCCCCATGGGTCACGTAGGAGGTACAGCAGCTTGGTGCAAACCATGCTGGCACCGGTCAATGCAGCTGTCGGTAACATGGTGCAAGGCAGCTGGAGGACGTGCAGGTGGGTGAAAGAACAGAGGTCGGTGGGGCACAGCACACTGCATTGAGTGATAAAGCTGTTTATTCCTCTTTACGAGACAGCGTTGGCTCCATCCATGATAACCATCACATTTTCTGAAGAGTTGTGCCAGGCCCAGTTGGAAGAGGTAAAGTATCAGGGCTGCTATTAACACTGGATTTTTCTACTTTTGGAGATTTCAGTAGAGACACCCTTAACAGTGTTACAGGGTTCAAGGCACTGCCAAGCACCAGGAGTCCTGCTAATGGTTCTTAACCTGTGTATAGTACTTCCTGATGTGGCAATTAAAAACTAGCAAGTGGAAAACCAGAAATTTGGAAAAGAGAGCCAGACTGAGTAATGTATGAAAGATGTTGTGGAGCTAATTAATAGGTTGTATAACATACCAGATTGCACCCGGTATGACATATCTGCAAGTATCTGGATAGCAACGCAGCTCAACTCTTTTTGGCACCACTGCGTATTTACAATCCAAGTTTATTTGGAATAAGCATTGCAAAACAACTGTACCTAAATAAGAACAATATGTGAAATCCTGGTCATGTACTATTGACTTCAGTGAACCCAGAATTTCATCCAAGATGCTTATATTGTATAGTGTTTCTGGTTAGTTGAGTAGTCAACGTCATTTTGGATGTTATTTATGGATCTTGCAGGTGATGCTTATGACCTGCACAAGCGCAAATTGTTCCTTGAACAGTGACCGATACTGTGAAGTGTAATACTTCAATCCAAGTGAATAAGTGGGCGTATTGTGGCATTGTGCAGAGACTGACTTTGCAGACTAGGGTTTATTCAAAACTTAATTTCTTCAAGTTGCCTCGTTCATTGTGAAACCTGTGATTTCTTTCCCCCAAAAAAGAAAGCCCGTATGTGACCCATTTCTATGTCAAAAAGTTTAATATCTCTTTGTACGAAGCTCCATCTCATCTGTCAGTCTTGTTATCATGGAGGAGAGTGGGCATTTTTCACTGCAGTGTATTACATGCGCGTGCCTGATGCTGTCGAGTCTGCCCAGAGATGGCAGAACCTGACATGTGCTTTGGCTCCAGATAAAGTTGTGGATGAGGCAGTGTTCCTTTGCTGCCCAGAATTCAGAGAATGTGGCTGTTTGGAAGAGCACATTTTTGGCAAGCTGCAGTAAACCTCTAACGGGATGCGGGGTGCACTGCTGCTCGCGTGGAGCGGAGAAAGAATCAGACGAACAAAAATGATTTGGCTTTGAGAGAGGTAATTTCAGCAGCTGAGCAGCATTTTTCCTTTATTACTTTTGGTTTGCCCTGTTGAGCGCTGCAGAATGTCAGCCCTGCTAAATGACTGGAAAGGAAATGAGATTGTGGAAGTCTGAGTTTGGAAATAGGTGGGGAGCACCTCAGCGTCAGCTAAATCTAACACCACAGCGCTTTAGGGTGTCCTTGAATAGAGTCCTGCCTTTCATTCTCTGGGGGATTCAAGCAACTTAGTGCTTCAGGGGGAAAAAAAAGTATATCTGGGGATTGGTTAGTATTGGGTCTGAACGAAGGATTCCCAGAGCAAATCTTATGAAGTGTCACGACTTGACCAGGAGACAGCTTCACAAACCATAAAACGATCGAGCCAGTGTCCTCTGTGGCTTGGGTGCACTAACGCGTGTGAACCCGTAAATTAAAGGTGCTCAGGGGTTGTATCACCAGCAGCCTATCCAAAAAACCACATGCCTTGTCTTCTGCCATCGGGGCCTTTAGCACTGGCTCTTGTGGCAGCCACCGGTGGGAGCTGGGACTGAATACACCCCCCTGGGTCTGACAGCCTGGCTGGGGGAGGCCGCTGGACCACCAAGGTGGAGGTGGTGGACGAGGGGCCGGATGGCCTTGGTGAGCGGGTGTTGACCATTCACAACTGTTCCGGTAGCAATGAGGCTTCAGCCACGTGGAGGTGGTGGTGGGACAGAGGCAGGTTGTGTCTACATGTAGGTGCTCTCAGGCTGCTGCAGGAGTCCCTCAGGACCTGCTGCAAACCCATGTGCCATGTGCTTCGAGTCATCTGTAGGTTTCTCCCCACACAGACATGGTCCTGGTTCGGGCGCTGTCAAAGCCAGCACCGCTGCCTCTGCCTGCGTGTGGGGTGTGGGTTGTGTACCTGGAATGCGGTGGCCATCTCCTGTGTCCCAAACAGGTGGAGAGGGTGCTGCGGCTGGGTCTGAGGACCCTCCACACCTGGCCTCCTGGTGGAAAGCACTGTGGGGGTGCATGTGCAGTGCTGTGGGCAGCCCCCGGGAGCTGCGCATTGGGTGACAGACCACACACCCAGGGTGACCTGCTTTGGGTCCTTCACAGGATTATTTTCATGTTATTTATTTTCCCTGCTGCCCCACGTAAGCCATTTGCTGCATTTTTAAGATGAATGAAGCCAAGTGCAGAGTGAAAGAAAAATGTGAAATTAAAGCATAGCCTGCAAAGTATTGGTGTTGGGCAAGATGTGTTAGTACTTGCGGTATGTAACCCATGGAGGGAAACCAATCCTGACCTATGTCAAAAACTTCTCGCTGAGGTTAGCCGCATACAGGCAGTCCCTGTGCGGCTTCTTGGCCCGTATCTCCCGGTTTATGCATTGCAAACATGTTGGGTGCAGTCCCAGCCCCATGCAAGTTGATGGTGGAGCTTGCGATGACTTCCGTCAGGGCAGCTCTCCTCCGAGCGCCGTCCGGCAAGGGAGCAGTGCAACTGCCCCAAGAGCCCCTGGGAGTGGAGAGGTTACAATATCTATCAGTGGCTATGGAAATTAGAGCGAGACACGTTTACTCTAAACTGAATCTGGAGAAGCTGTTTTTATCAGCACGTTGCTGTCTCTTCATTGCTGGCCTGGGAAATCCCAGCCCTTCCAGACAAGGCTGTCCTCTCCAGCCCTGCGGTGCTGGGCTGTTGTACGCAGGTTCCACGTGAATCTTTCTTGAGTTTAAAAAGTAGCTTCACAGCAACTTTTCTGTGAATATTTGCTTTTTTTCCCCCAACACTCATGTGGAATCTAGTTTATTGTTGTCAGGGTCTTCACTGCCTTTTTTTCCTTTTAGGTGAAAGTCAAATAATGAACTTCATAGCTTGAAGCCAGATTTTTTATCAATAGAAATAGAAGGGAAAATATTAGGTTATGAAGGAATAAATACATTTTAGTGCTTTAGGAGTGGGAAAAAATATTTTTCAACTTACCGTATGTTTGCGGTAACAACTGTGCAAACCAAAAAGAAAGGGTTTGATGTACGGGCCGTAAAGTTAGCAGCATTAAAAGCTGTGGATGTTTTGGCAAGTATGATGTTGTGTGTTGGCATGGCAATTGCAGCACTTGAAATAAAAACAGAGGTGCGTGAAAACTTTTTACAAGTTAGAACATACTCCTGCCCCTTAAATGATGAGGAGGTGCACTACAGGTAGCAGGCAAAGGTCAGAAAACTGCCTTATTTTGTTTAGTGTCTTCTGCTGTCTTCATCACCTGGGTACGTGAGTGCCCACCGGGGAGCGCGGTAACTTGCCTGGCTGCTCGCTGTCACTTGTTGCTCATTTTTTTTCTCACAGGAGAAGCTGCAGAGATGCTGAAGATGCTGTTTGAACTTTTAAAAAACGTTGGTTTTGCTCAGAAACTAAGCCTTTGTCTGAGCCTGGTTTCTCTTTTGCCTCGTTCTGTAAATGTTGACGTTGCATTGTGGGCAGTATCAGGTGACACCGGCTTCTGGCTCTCTGTTGGCGGCTGGAATCATTTCGGTTTTGAAGTCAGCGGCAGAACTCCTGTTGAAACAGCGGGCACAGCCCACTCAGGTTCTCCTTTGCTGCTGCGCGGTTTCCCCAAACGTCTGGAAAGGAGAACTTCCGAGTTGGAAACTAACCGGTGCCTCGGCTGAGGAACGTGGTTGGACCTTCCCGGGGCAGCTCCTGCACCTCACCGCGGCCTCGGGCGGAGGGGACGTGGGGTCTTCCTGCACCCCCTGCAGCCGGGCGGCACGGCCCTGCGCTGCTCCCGGCTTCGCCCTTCCTGCGGCGAA